ATGGGGGGGGGGGGGGTTAAAGGCTAAACTCTAAAGGAAGAGAAGTCATCCAAAAGGCACGGAACGGAACTCATTGTTAATGTTTTTCTTTTTCTTTTTATTATTTTATTCCCCACCTCACTTTAGATTGATGTATCATAACAGCCTGCCCCCATGGATAATTCAGAAACCTGTAGATTTCGAATCTAATCTAACAGACTCAGATTTTGTGTGTGACGTGATTATTTGTGAGATTCAAGTGGTTGATAACTTCAAGAGTTTCAGGAACGGTATTGGAAATTGTGCAACCATACTACAAATAGAAAATGGTAAGAGTTTTTTTTCTCTCTCTCTCTCTAAAGTTTATTTATTGGGGTCCAAACTGACACGGCTGAAAACTATATCCTTTCTGGTTTTTATATATATATATATATAAATCAAATGTATCAAACGTGTGGATTTTTAAACTCTGGTTTTTTTTTTTTGTTGAATGTAAGAAAGACAATCGGATTAATTCGGATCGTTACAAGGTAGTCGCTAACCATATTTTAAATATTCTATACGTTAGTATACCTTTGAATATTGATACCAACAATTTAAAAAATTATATGTTGAGATATGACGGATTTTGAAAAATATTACGAGATATATCATATAATGGAGATCTTATCAAAATCCGGTATATCTCAACATTATATAAGATATCATAAAGACAAATTAATCTTAATTATATATATTTACATTATTATTATTTTTTTTATAAACAACGAGCTGCAAAGCATATGTGCTCAAGGGTTCAAAAACTTCAAACTGTGGCAATGTGTAGTTATGATTTATAAATAAATAAATAATTTTAAATAAATAATAATAGTAAATACTTTTTTTAGGATGCAGAACAAGTGCCACGCTGTATTATAACTGTTATGTAATCTAGTCATTGACTTCGTTTTTGGTTGGCTTGTACTTTTTTCTTATAATTAAGATGGTTTTCCATGAGCTTTCGATCTAATTACATCCACCATAGATTCATGACCAACCTATGTATATACCCCTCCTTACTCCTTGATATTCCCACTTCTTCTCTTCTCATCTCCTTACTTTCCTTTTTTCTTCTTTTTTCAACTTGAATTTAGAATCTTCGACGCGAGAGATACGCTTCGTATTCACGACGTTCTGTTTATATAATATATACACACTAATGATATAATTGTATAGTTGAATGTTATATACTCAAAAGTATATATAGTCTGGTTATAAGGCATGTATGGATTTTTAATAAATTTATAAATCTATTGCAATTCACATGCCGTTCTTCGGTTACCAAAAAAACCTTGTAAATCATGAGAATCAGTATATGTTAAATTTACAAACATGTATATTATATTATATGTTCAATTAATCTCGTTTTATACATTCACTATTCACTACTCTCTCTCTCTCTTCAAAACGATTGAGACTATAAGGGCAATAATTTTTTTTTTTGTTAAACGGTAAACTTGTATATATGTACGCTGCCCAAATACAGAAGAGAATTCCGAGTTACATCGCAATTTGATACGCAAAATCAAAAGCGGATTACAATCGGTCAAAGTAATGAAACCAAATACTCAGCATTGAATCACCATCAGCATTAGCCATGAAATCAGGTCCAAAGGATGATATTTTACGTCTAGTATGTCTGAGGATATCCTTAAGGGTAACCTCTGCCGGCCTAGGAGACGCACCATGTGCCCTGCAATTTCGTTCCAGCCATATATAGTACACAGATGCTTGAAAAAACAGTAGTACCATGATTCTCAGAAGCCTGCAGGTAGTACAAGTCTTCAACCATGACAGGGTCTCCAAGAATATAGTTAGGAACGGTGGGCGAATGGGTAAAAGCTGCTGCCCAGAAATTAATGATGCTATAAATCACCGATTTTATAAGTTGTAGTCGACCCGCGAAAGAGAGATGTTTCGAAGTCCAAGCACATAATCTGTTCCGAATGCAATCCTTTAGTACCAAGCAATCCCTTTCCCGAAATCTGACTGATGAAAGAGGAAGTCCCAAATATTTGACTGGTAACCGTCCCACCACCAAGCCCAGATTTTCTGCGATAGCTTCATTTGCAGACTGGTCATCACCATAAAGGAATACAGCCGTTTTTGCTCGGTTCAACTTAAGTCCAGAAATAGTATAAAATTCCTCCAGGATCGTGAGTATGCCGGAGAGAGACCTGGTTGTACATTCTGAAAATATGAGCACATCATCTGCAAAAGAAAGATGACTAACCAGAGGGGTGCGGCATTTTGGCGGCACTGCAATTACACCACTGGCAACACCTCGATCCAATAGCCTTGATAGCGAGTCCATCACCAATACAAACAGATATGGGGAGATAGGATCCCCTTGGCGCAACCCCCGTTTGCTGTTGAAGAAGCCAACTGTTTCACCATTGAATGAAATGGAAAACGTAGTCGAGGAAATACACTGAGAGATCCAATTAATAAAGACCTTCGGAGCTCCCAAAGCATGCAGAATCCGAATGATGAATTCCCATTGCACAGAGTCAAATGCTTTGGATAAGTCAATTTTCAGCGCGGCAGCACGAGGGCGACCCCTTGGTTTGAACCCAGCCATTAGCTCGGTGGCTAACAATACATTCTCAAGTAATGATCGACCTTTGATGAATGCAGACTGGTTTGGGAGAACAACAGATGGCAACAGAAGTTTCAGCTTCTTTGCAAGGATCCTTGAGATGATTTTATATGTAGTGTTGCAGCAAGAGATTGGCCGGAAATCCTTCATGTTGCTAACGTTTCTCACTTTCGGAATTAGAGCAATCATTGTAGCATTCCACTGTTTCAGCAATTTACCCGATTTGAAGAACTCTAAAACTGCCGCAATAACCTCAGGGCCAATTACATCCCAGCAAGAAATGAAGAACTCCACCGGAAAGCCATCCGGACCTGGTGCTTTGTCACGTGGCATGGCAAAAACCTCTGCAGTAATTTCCTCAGCAATGGGCACTTCTGCTAACATGGCAACAGATGTAGCACTACATCGATAGTTATATAGCTCACGAAGCTCATCAATCGACCAGCACGTCAATGATGAGTCGGTCGAACCCAGTATGGATTGGAAGTAATCCACTGCCATCTGCTTCATAGCATCTAGTTGGTAAATCCTTTCACCTCCATTATTAACAAGGAAACGAATTTGGTTAGACGCATAATTTTGAATATGCTTGGTTTTCTAAATAATAGATATACTATTAGTAGTAATTTCTAAGTTGTTGGACAGTCTATAACTTTGAATATATTTGGTCCCACTCCACGTATATTACTTCTATCATGGAATATCCATAAATTCCTTCTCACGTAGAAAGTTCTTTATTTTACATATATATATATACATATATATATATATATATACTTTTTTCTCATAAATCGCCAAATAAGGCCATGGAGTATGAACCTGTGACCAATTTAACAAAGAAACAACCACAATCACTCACTATTATTGAACAGTTATCTTCTGTTTTATTACTAAAAATATCATCTCCTTTTATTAATAATGACATCTTTAAGATAAATGGTCATGACATCACTTAAGTTTTAAATATACATATATGAGTATTATTTTTTATATTTTGTTGGATTCAATGTTGGTTTGAATAATGATATAAGAATTTGCGGTATTGCATAATATTTTCTGTAATTATGTCAGTTCCCATGAAAGTATGAGATTTTATTTATTTATTTTGTCTCGTTGGTGCTGATTTCTAATGTTTATACTAATTATTTGATTTATGATTTAAAGTTTCGCGCACCATTAGGAATAGAGAAGTCGTCTTTTTTTGTTAGGCTGATTTAATTAAATTGAATCCAATTAATTAACATAGCTATGCTTAAAATGAACCCGATCTAAAAGTTGGCTAAATACATTTTTTTATAATTAATTAGTGGAATCAAATTCGAAAGAAAAATAAATATAAATATAATCGAAAAATGAAATAGGTAAATGTTTCTAAACATGTGCATTTTCATTAATAAAATCTACTTTGAATTGAGTTTGAATAAAATGTGAATCAAATTAAAATATAATATAAAAATTAAGTGGATATAATTATTTGACAAAATTTTGAAAGAAAATACTTGAGTTATAACCGAGTCAAAATATAAAATATTTTTAGTAAATATGAGTACGTTGTGTTAAAAATAATTAAATAGTTAACGTAAAATCAAACATTTTTTATTTAGTTATTTCAAGTGGGATTTTATCTCCGTTCACACGTTAATTAATTAAAAAAACAAATTAAAAGGAATAGATTAATTAACTTTTTAATTAAAAGGGTGCTGACTAATTAAGACTTGTCTGAAGTCTTAATCACGTCATACAAACCGTTTTACATGGCCAAAGTGATTTTTCCACTTCCGTACTAATTATTCTATGACCAAACTATTTGGCAATTTCGTTGACTTTGTTGACCTCGACCCACGAAACTTAATTTGTCTTCCATTCAAACTATTTCTTTTTTTTCTTTAATTTTAAATTTTAATTGCATTGAAGTTACAAAATGAATAAAGAATCAATGTTGAATATATAGTTACAAAGAATGTGTAATGTAAAAAAACTCAAATGTCTCTAAAACTTTGAATGGTGTTGGTTTTTATTTTGGATTTTTGGTTTTAGTTTTTGGTTTTTGGTTTTTAGTTTTTGGTTTTTGGTTTTTGGTTTTTGGTTTTTGTATTTTGATAAGTTTGTAAATCTAAAAAATTGTAGATTTTGGTTTT